CTGATGACTACTGCAAACTTCTCCACTCTTCTCAGTCACCCTTCCTAGCTCCTCTCACCCTCAGCAGATGACCTTGCCTCTCACTTACTTCACTGAGAAAATAGAAGCCTCAGACAAGATCTTGTCCTTCTTCTGGGTACCAAGCCCTAGAAGGGAACATTCATCTTATCTAGGATAAAGTCTCAACCTAGAATTTTCATCTTATTCCCTTCTGCCTTTTTAAGATCTTTCTCTTGCTAATTCTGTCTCTCCCTGCTCTACAGTTGGTCGCTCCTTCTCAAGTGGAACCCCATTGACAATGAAACATGCTGAAGATGCTCCTGTCTTAAAATACATAGCTGTAACGACAGCTAACATATACTGAGCACTTGCTATGTATTGGTCTTTGTGCTAAGATAAAAACTAAAACATATGTGTCTCTCAACTCCACAGCACCTGCCAGCTCCTATAGTGTCTCTGCTTCCCTTTACAAAGTTCCTAAAAGTGATGTGTTTATTTCACTGTTTTCATTTCCTCATCTCTAACTCACTTTCTGATCCAGGCTGCTTTCTTCTCCTGTCATTGCCATTCCTCCTAAATGGTTCTAGCTAAGGCCAGTGGTCACCTTCATGTTGCCAAATCCAGCAAATATTTTTTTTTAATTCTTGATCTCTCAATAGCATTCAAAATAGTTGCCCACCACCTCTTTGTTTTTTGAGACGGAGTTTTGCTCTTGTTGCTCAGGCTGGAGTGCAGTGGCACCATCTCGGCTCACTGCAACCTCCGTCTCCTGGGTTCAAGCAATTCTCCTGCCTCAGCTGCCTGAGTAGCTGGGATTACAGGCGCGTGCCACCATGCGTGGCTTTTTTTTTTTTTTTTTGTATTTTTAGTAGAGACAGGGTTTCTCCATGTTGGTCAGGCTGGTCTCAAACTCCCGACCTCAGGTGATCCGCCTGCCTTGGCCTCCCAAAGTGCTGGGATTACAGGTGTGAGCCACTGCGCCTGGCCCCCACCACCTCTTTTTTGAACTACTCCCTTTCCTGACGATCATACTCTCTTTGTTTTCCTTCTCTGTCTACCCACTCCTCTGTCTCTTTGCCAGTTCATTTTCTTCTGCTTGGCCATTTAGTGTCATCACTACTCAAGGCTCAGTCCCAAGCTTTAATCTTCTTTTAAATCATAAGAGTACAATGCACCGTATTGTAGCTTGAAGAATTTTTACACTGGTATGTCTTACAGTGTAGTATTTTGCATATTACACTGGTATGTATTTACATTGGTATAAAACATTTCCAGTAGCCCAGAAAGTTCTTTCAGGCTGTTTCCTAGTCAATGCTACCCCACAAGAGTTAACCACTATTCTATCAGTATAGACTAATTTCACTCGTTCTGGAACTTCCTGGAGTATATGTATCCTCCATACGGTGTATACTCTTTTGTGTCTGTTTGTTTTGTTTTGTTTTGCTTGTGATTATGTCTGTGAGATTTAGCCATGTTGTTGTGTGTGGCAGTGGTTGGTTCTTTTTTGATGCTATATAGTATCTCATTATATGAATACGCCACAATTGATCCATTCTACTGATGCTAGACATTTGGGTTGTTACTAGTTTTTGGCTCTTATCTATAAAGCTACTATGAACATTCTTGTTCATGTTTTTTAGTTGACATATACACTAATTTCTCCTGGGCATATGACTAGCTATGGAGCTATGGTTAAGTCATAGGGTATGATTCTGTTTAGCTTTAGTGGATACTGCCAAATCAGACCTTTTTTCTATTTTTTTTTAACTTTATATTCTATTCTTGGGCAGTCTCATCTTCACTCATGACTTCAATTACCATCTACACACTGACAACTGCCAAATTTATGTCTCAGCCCAGCTCTCTCCTCTTAGCATCAGCTCCAGTCGCCAATTTTCCACTTAACGTCTCTACTTGGATGTCCCTAAGACTCCTCAAAACCAGCATGTGCAAAACCAAAGTCATCATCTTACCTCCCAAACTAGTTCTTTACCTGTGCGCCTGATCTAGTGAGCCACCCCACTGTTCACCCCATCATGCAAACCAGAAATCATCCCTGACACTCCATCTCCCTCACCTGCCTTGACAGGATCTACCAATTTTGCCTCATAAACATCTCCACTCTACCCCTGTTCCAGGCCGTCCCACCACTGCATGTCTCACTGGGCCACTGCAATGGCTCCTCAACAGGCCTGCCAGCAGTCCCTCTGTATCCTTCACTCTGCAGCCATAGTTGTCTTTTCAAATCAAAGCTCTGATCACGTGAACTCCTTCCATGGGGAGTCTTTAATTGTCCCTGAGCCAGAATCCTCACTGTGGCCTTTAAGACCCTGAGTGACCTGGGTTCTCCCTGCCTTCACCTACCTCTCCAGCTACGCTTGCCCCTTCTCATCTCTGTCCTTCAGGGCCCTTGCACACACTCTGTTCTCTCTCTGGAATATCCTCCCTCCTCCACAGGGGCACGTGCGCACGCACACACACACACACCATTACCTAATTACTCCTCTTTATTTATTTATTTTTTATTTTATTTTATTTGTATTTTTTTTTTTTGAGTCAGAATCTCCTTCTGTCACCTGGGCTGGAGTGCAGTGGTGCAATCTTAGCTCATTGCAACTTCCACGTCCTCGGTTCAAGCAAGTCTCATGCCTCAGCCTCCTAAGTAGCTGAGATTACAGTCTTGTGTCACCATGCCTGGCTAATTTTGTATTTTTAGTAGATACGGGGTTTTGCCATGGTGGCCAGGCTGGTCTTGAACTCCTGGCCTCAAGTGATCCACCCACCTCGGTCTTCCAAAGTGCTGGGATTACAGGTGTAAGCCACTGCGCCCAGCCTCCTCTCTATTCTTTAGACTGTAATTCAAACATCATTTCCTCAGAGAAAGCTTCCTTGATTCCCCAGTCTGGGTCAAGTCCCTCTGCCATTCACTCTGATAGAGCTATATTTTTTTTTATAGCACTTACCATGGTTTGTAATTAGATATTTATTTTTTTCATTTTTGAATTGATGTCTGTCTCCCCTCTTCGACAGTAAGCTCCTTGAGGGCAGGTCCATGATGTGTTCTCCACTGTGGCAATGAGTAAATGAAAGAATGAAGAAGCAAGGGATTTGGAGACAGATGACCTCATTCCAGCCTCCAGCCCACTTCTTGCTCTCCCTGAGACTTGAATAGGCTGGTGTGGCTCAGTTTTCTCACTTGTCAGATGGGAATGAAGTTACTCATACCTGCTTGTTTCACTGGGTTGTATAAGGATCCCATGAGATAACAATTGAAAACCATGGGCCGAGCGTGGTGGTTCACACCTGCAATCCCAGCACTTTGGGAGGCTGAGGCGGGTGGATCACCTGAGGTCAGGAGTTCGAGACCAGCCTCAACATGGAGAAACCCTGTCTCTACTAAAAATACAAAATTAGCTGGGTGTGGTAGTGTATGCCTGTAATCCCAGCTACTTGGGAGGCTGAAACAGGAGAATTGCTTGAAACTGGGAGGCAGAGGTTGCGGTGAGCCGATATCACCACACCGTTGCACTCCAGCCTGGGCAACAAAGAGTGAAAAACTCTGTCAACAAAACAAAACAAAACAAAACAAAACAAAACAAAACAAAAAACACCATGGAGCATTACACAGATGTAAGGGGTGGCTGGAATGAAGAAAGAGATACAGAAAAAGTCAGAAACCACTCAGCACACACTGCTGAAGAGAAGGTCTGGATGGGGAGGGCTGCATGTTTGGACAGAGGGTTCAGAACTGAGTGCAGCTCTGTGTGTGTGTCTGCTTGGGCACCTCTCCAGGGGCCCTCTGTGTATGCCCTTTGACATTTTCCTCATTCTCCAATTACTTGAACAAGATGAAGATGAGAAAGAATGTTAGAAGAATAAGCATTTGTTTGAACAAGCATACAGGTGATGGAGGAGAGAGGACGTGCAGTGGGGGGGTGTGTAAGTGTGTTGGGGTGTGTGTGTGTGTGTTGGGGTGTATGTGTTGGGGTTTGTGTGTGTTGGGGTGTGTGTGTCGCCCCACACCAGGGCTGTGTGTCTGTGTGATAATGTGCAAGTGTGCAGTGTGGTCTTGGTTGCTGTAAGGGAAGAGGTATTCAGTTGCACCCAACTTACTGTCCTTTGGCGCTGTCTGTGTATACACACTCTTCTCTTTGCTGGGGCTCCCAAGCTGGAAGCTCTCACTGCCTTTGCTGCTTCCTTCTGGAAATCAATCTACTTCCCCTTCCAAAATATCTGAAGGAGAGGGACAGTGCCCTCTAGTGGGAATGCATGGGCAGCTGCAGCTTCCTCAGCCCAAGCCTCAGCCCACTCCATTCGTCTGGAAGTCCTCTCTGAAGCACTTCCTGGGGAATGCAAAGGAGGAGGCCCCTACCCTCTGAGAGCTCAAGATCTGGCAGGCAGGAAAAGGATGCACACAGGAGAGGACACACAGGTTCATGCAGGAGAAGCCTGAGGACAGCAGCTCAAGGTTGGGGGGGGGTCTCTCCTCATCTGTGCAATGACTTATCTCTGGTTGCCCAGGGTGTTCCTGGCTTTCCTTGCTTCCTGTTCCCGCACATGGTCTCTTGGTCCTGCTCTTTTACTGTTGGTCATTACTCATAGCTGTAGGGCCTTGAGCAGAACTGGACCCTTCAGTCTATTCCCTGGGTGGGCACTCACAGCGCTCTGTGGAGTTGGGGGAGGCTTCTTGGAGGAGGTAACATGTGAGTAGGGTCTTGAAAAATGAGTAGGAATTCTCCAGATGGAGTCCAGGGAAGGCACAGGACTGTGGATGAGCCTTGTGTGTCTGGGGATGGGTGGTGGCGGCTGGATGCTGGCCTGAGGTGGAGGGTACATTGCTTTCAGCTTTGTGGGGCCACAAGAGATGCCTGAATTTTCACAGGAGGCAGTGGGAAGTGAGAGAAGATCTTTACTTTTTTGAGACAGAGCCTTGCTCTGTCATCCAGGCTGGAGTGCAGTGGCACGATCTCGGCTCACTGCAATCTCCACCTCCCGGGTTCAAGCGATTCTTGTGCCTCAGCCTCCCAAGCAGCTGGAACTACAGGCATATGCCACCACGCCTGGCTAGAGAAAAGGTCTTTAAGCAGAAGAATGGTCAGAGTCACAAAACATGGACTAAAGGTGGGGAGAAACCGCAGGGAGGCAGGGAGACCAGTTGAGAGGCTGTTGTTTAGGCAAAAGAGCAGGGCAGTGGCAGAAAGAGGAGGGCAGTGGCTGTTGTTTAGCCCAATCTGAGGGCAGTGGCAGAAGGATGGAGGGGGCGAGAGGTCAAGACTCCAATTCTGGGGCCTCTTTGTCCCTGGCAGCAAAGCTGAGGCCAAAAGTTCCACATCACTCAGTTCTGCTAGAACCTGGCACTCTGCCTCCCATCCCCAACACACTCTAGGGTCTCTGCAAATGGAGAAGGGAAGATGGTGGGAGCAGGGAGGGAGAATAGAGGAGGAGGAGGGGGAACACAGCCTGGGACTAGGGGATGCTTAAGGAATGGGGAGGCCCAAGCAGACCCACCTAGCCCCAGTCTAGCCCTACTGCTCCTCCTCTGGCCCTGCAGAGAAAGAGTTAATCTGCTACACCTCCCTCCCCAACCTTCCCCTCCTCCCCTCAGGTCACCTTCTTGGCCCTGGAGACTTGGCTGGTGGCTCAAGTTCCTCAACCAGTGTCCCTGAGTAATCAGAGCACATAGAGGGACCAGGGGCCTGGGGGCAGGGAATGGTAAATTAGGGGCAGGGGAGCCTCGGAGACTGAGGCCGGGAGTCTGCAAGGCTGAGGGTTTGGTGGGAACCCCAAGTTGGTTCCCAATACTGTCTACCTGACCCAGGTCCCCCTGCCCCACCCCCAGCACTGATCTCAATTTCTTCCATCCACCAGAGAATTCCTCGAACTCCTAAACTGTTGAGGGGTGCAGGGGGCAAGCTGAAAGGGGTAGTGGTGATCTGCCAGGAAGCTTTCCCACTGCAGGAGACAGGGTCCCTCCCCTTAGTGCCGGGAACTGGTCAGAAATGAGTCTGTGGTCAGTGAGAGACTGCTGCTAATGGAACCTGGGCTGGCCCACAAGCCACAGGAGGGTAGGGGAGAGGAAAGGAACCAAAATAGAGCTCAGCATAGGGGGTGGGACTAGGGCTGGTAATGCTGTCCTGAAGTAGAGCTGGGGCCAGGGAGGGAGGGGAAGAGAAAGAGGGTCAGGGACTGGAATTGGAGGTCTGAGAGAGTGCCTGGTGGTGGGGCACGGAGGGGTTAAGGTATCCCAGAGGAATAACTGGATGAAGGGAGAATAAGGGAGAGGACCCAGAATTGGGATGCGGGCACTGAGGGACATGATGAGGAACAGACTGGAGGATGACAGAGAGCATGAGTATGTGTTATGTGTGTCCTGGGGGGTGGGGACTGTTGTCACTGCGATCATCATGGCAGTGGGCGCAAAGGATGGTGCCGGGTCCCTCCTCACCGGCAGGGGTGGGTTCCAGGAGTCCCAACCCTAGGCTTTTCCAGGGTTTCCACTCTGTCCTAAACCCTGTCTGTGCTGCTGGAGCGGGTGACAGGAAAGGGGCTCCAGCCCCCTGCTCTCCATCAGCCTCCCTTTCCCACTGCCATCAATTATTCATCAGCCCAGACACCCGCCCTCCCTGGCAGGGCAGGCTGGTCCTCCTCCCATGCCCCGCCCCAGCCACACTGCCACAGAGGCCCTGGTGAGGAAGGACAGCCAGCCAGGCTGTGGATACCTAACTGACAAGCTGGGTGGCTAGCTCTGCCGGACTCTGCCTGGGGTCACATCGCCTTCCCCTCTGGCACCTTCCCGCTTCCTCCTGCCAATCCCTGGCACCAGGAAGCCCCTGGAGAAAATGCCCATTCGGATCTTCTGCTCTGTGTCATTCTCCTCTGGAGAGGAGGCCCCAGGGCCCTTGGGAGATATTTGGGGTCCCCACCACCATCAGCAGCAGCAGGACATCTCAGAATCAGAAGAGGAGGAAGAAGAGAAGGAAAAGGAGGCAGTGAGGAAGGAGACCAGCAAGAGGCATTCACCCATGGACTTGGTGGCCTTTGCCAACAGCTGCACCCTCCACGGCACCAACCACATTTTTGTGGAGGGGGGTCCAGGACCAAGGCAGGCGCTGTGGGCGGTGGCCTTTGTCCTGGCACTGGGTGCCTTCCTGTGCCAGGTAGGGGACCGCGTTGCTTATTACCTCAGCTACCCACACGTGACCCTGCTAAACGAAGTGGCCACCACGGAGCTGGCCTTCCCGGCGGTCACCCTCTGCAACACTAATGCCGTGCGGCTGTCCCAGCTCAGCTACCCTGACTTGCTTTATCTGGCCCCCATGCTGGGACTGGATGAAAGTGATGACCCTGGGGTGCCCCTTGCTCCACCGGGCCCTGAGGCCTTCTCTGGGGAGCCCTTTAACCTGCACCGCTTCTACAATCGCTCCTGCCACCGGCTGGAGGACATGCTGCTCTATTGCTCCTACCAAGGGGGGCCCTGTGGCCCTCACAACTTCTCAGTGGTGAGTGGGGCCCCATGCCTGCCACAGTACCCCAAGAGTGTCTGCCATGGTTCTCCCTGACTGTCACCTCCTGGGGTTGGGGCTGGGGCTGGGGCTGATGACTGTGCTGCCCCCTCCTCACCTGGCTGACCCAGGCCAGAGCTTACCCAGGAGTCCAGGGCCTGAAGCTAGGCTGATATTCCCAGGTCCATACCAGCACCGCTTTTCCCGTTAGAATCTTGAAACACATCTGTCTTAGTTGGTGTTTCCTCCCTACATGTCCTCCAGTCTCACCTGCCCTTCCCAAGACCTCCTCATGGTCCAGCAGGGCCTGGGACCTTGCTCCATCTGTGAGGTCAACCTTTGATCTGTTGGTGGACACCAATGCCTGGCCAGTTGCTCACTATTTTGAGTAGCACCCGTGGACTGAAGCTGGGGTGGGTGCTGCCTGGTTTCTGGTGGTACAAGAGAAGGGAGTGAGAGGGAGACAGTAAAGGGGTGGGGACATCCCCCACCACCCCCACCTCACCATGCTGCTTGTCAGCAGCTCCCACAGCAGGGACTTCAATGCGTCTTTGCTTGGTCTTCCTGTGCCCTCCTACGGGTGCCCCACCCCCACCAGCTCTGTGTGTGTGTGTGTGTGTGTGTGTGTGTGTGTGTGTGTGTCTGAAGGTAAATAACAGGTCTTTAAGTCATATCCCTCTCCCCAGCTTTAAGTGGCCAGCGACCCTCTTCCTAGGGGAAGCTGTCACTGGGAACTGTCCTCCTGCTTGGCCCCCCACCCAGGGGTCTAAGGCCTTCCCTGCTGGAGGGCCACCTGGCACCCCACTGTCTCTCCTAAGTTCATCTTCCAGGTCTGTCTGGCCTGACTGCTCTCCTGCTCCACCAGCTCCCAGGTACCAGGCCTTCCCTGCCCCACACACCCATCCCTCAGTCCTCCACCCCCTCCCTAGTGTAGGGGCAGGGGGTGTCATCATACCAGTGCATCATGGGATGACTGCAGACATACAGGGGCCTGGGGGTTTGGACCACTGGGTCTCAGGGAGGCCAGGAGCCATAGGAACGTGGCTTCCTCTGGGCCTGAGGGTAGAGCAGACACTTCTCACCCAGGCCCACCAGGTGGCAGCAGCAATCCACTGTACAGCAGCCCAGTCCTCTGAGCCAGCGCAAGGCAGGGCTGCTAGCCGGCCTCAGACACCTCTAATCACATACAGCTCTGGATGGAGTGTAGGCATGAGCGTATGTCCAGCCTGGAGCCTGTGGCTGGGTGCCGCAAGACCTGGTCGTGGGGCTGGGGATTAGGAGCCCTTGGAGTTCTCTCTTTGCCTCATCCCTAGACCTCACCCACAAAGTGGGGAGAGCAGTATGTTTCCTTTTCTGGAGGGCAATGGAGGAGGCTGTTCTAGGAAGGGGGAAGGGGACAAAGACCCTATTCCCTAGTAACCTACTGCCATTGCGGCTTCAGTCTGGCCTGAAACTCTTTTGTCTGTCCCCTGCTCTGGGCTGTGTTGACTCACCTTATGACCTGTTTTGTGGACTTTGTCACCATCCAGCAGTAGTAAAAGCACGGCCACCCCAACTTGGGGACATTCAAGGAGGCTGTGGGGAAAAGGCCAAGAATAACTGGTTTACTTTTCTCTTTGCAGCTTTTTAATCAGCACTGTGACCAGGGCTGCACTGGGGCATGGAGCGGGGAGAAGACTGGGGAGACAGCCCCCAGGGCTGAGATATCTCCTGAGGCCCTCCTAGTTTTGCAAAAGCATTAACACACGCACCATGCCCTGGGGGCTCAGTCCCAAGTGCTGGGAGAAGAGGTGCTGGTGCTTAGTTGAGCGTGGTCCTTGGCGTGGCAACTGGGTCTACTTTCAGGTTCTGCTGATAATAGAATAATGATAGACCCAAGGGGCTAGGGGCTGAAGGAAACCAAAAAACTGAGTTTGGCTGGGCACGGTGGCTCACGCCTATAATCCCAACACTTTGGAAGGCTGAGGCAGGCGGATCACCTGAGGTCAGGAGTTTGAGACCAGCCTGGCTAACATGGTGAAACCCCGTCTCTACTAAAAATACAAAAATTAGCCAGGTGTGATGTTGTGCACTTGTAATCCCAGCTACTCGAGAGGCTGAGGTGGAGGTTGCAGTGAGCCGAGATTGCACCATTGCACTCCAGCCTGGGCAACAGAGTAAGACTCCATCTCAAAAAAAAAAAAAAAAAAAAAAACTAAGTTTGGGTCTTGGGGAAAGCAGAATTTCAGATTCCCAGAGTGAAATCTAGGGGAAGAGAAGGTATGTCTCAGAGGCCTCAGGAGCTTGGGCCTGAGGAAAGGGTCCCAAGGCGGGGCCAGGGATCTGGCTATGTTGGGATCCTGGTGATGAAAATGCATATGTCAGGTTCCTGGCAGGAAAAAGACAGCTACCTGATGATTTAGTTGAAGACTTTAACAAAGGGACTGCTGACAGATCTGTGGGCAGGGTTAAGAAAACCAGTGAGAGGGGCTGAGGCAGCGAGCAGTACTATGAAATCGTTATCACTTCTAGGCCGAAGAAGCACAAAAGAAGACAGTGCTGTGTAGGGAGCCCTGACTGGATTTGTAATCATGGAGAGCGTAAGCCACTACTAGAGCTACAGAGGGGCGAGGGCTGGAGAAGGATTCATACCCCAATCTTTCCTCCTGCCTTCTGATCCATTACCAATACCTCCCAACTGTGAAACCCAACTAGAAGCCCATGCAGGTGGCAAAGGAGCTCAGGCTATGCACCCTACCAGGAACAGTTTTCCAGGGCACACAGAGGGCAAGGAAGGGCGGGAAACAGGTGGGAGAGGGGAGCAAATGGAGAACAGGCTGCACAGGAGGAACCGCTCCCAAAGGGTGTTGAGATTCCAACAGCTGGGGTGACTAGGAACAGCCCTTGGTGAGTAGAGGGTGCTGGCAGGACTCAGGCTCTCCACTCTGCCCCCGCCAGGTCTTCACACGCTATGGAAAGTGCTACACGTTCAACTCAGGCCGAGATGGGCGGCCGCGGCTGAAGACCGTGAAGGGTGGGACAGGCAATGGGCTGGAAATCATGCTGGACATCCAGCAGGACGAGTACCTGCCTGTGTGGGGGGAGACTGGTATGTCACCCGCTTCAGGGGCCCCTCTGCATGGCTCTAGGCCCCAGCCTCTGCCAGGGGATTCCTGGGCTTCTCTGTGAGACCCGGGCAGGGCCCGGGCTTTCCCCTCTCCCCCCAGCATCTCACCATCTCCATTGCTGACTCTACCTGACTTCCACACTCACATCTCTCTGGCTCCCCCTTCCTGGCTCAGTTACTCTCCAAGGTAACCAGCCCTCCTTTTCCATCAGCGCCACCACCACTCTATAAATAACTCCCTCTCTTCTCAGGCTGCCTGCCTGTCTGGTCTCGGGGGGCCTTGGGGCAGAGAGAGATGGGGGAAAAGGGAGAAAGGGAGGGGGAGAAATGGAGAGCATCTGAAACAGTGACACTCTGGGAGAAAGTATTTGAAACACCAAGATGCAGCGCAGAAGCCAGGTAAGAAAAGAAGTGTATAGGATGCAGGGGTCGTCAGAGCAGCTCAGAGCTGGTAAACCCAGAAGGAGGCTGGGGGATGGGCTAGGACCCTATAGACTTCCCCCACCCCAGTCCCAGTGTATGCTATGCTTATTCCCAGGAGAGGTAGGATGCCCCCAGGTCTGAGGGGGGTTAGGGAGTCAGGAGTCCTCCCAACTCACACACCCCTCATTCCCCTAGACGAGACGTCCTTCGAAGCAGGCATCAAAGTGCAGATCCATAGTCAGGATGAACCTCCTTTCATCGACCAGCTGGGCTTTGGCGTGGCCCCAGGCTTCCAGACCTTTGTGGCCTGCCAGGAGCAGCGGGTGAGAGGGCCATGGGAGGCTGGTCCTGGGGTGGGGTGTTGAGGGGTCCAGATGGAGTGGTGGGCAATCAAGCATGGGAAGGACAGGTGAGTGAGGACCTGGGTGGTAGTCTGGCTAGTCCGAAGCATGAGTGATCAAATGGACAAGAATGCTCTGTAAACTCTGAGACCTTCAGAGGCTACAGAGAGAGAGGGGGGCAGAACTCCAGAGATCTGCATCTTGTCAGAGGAGTCCATCAAGCTGATTTGGGGAGAAGTCCCTGCACTCCCCCAGCTCCCCGGCTTTCCCAGCAGCTCATCTACCTGCCCCCGCCCTGGGGCACCTGCAAAGCTGTTACCATGGACTCGGATTTGGATTTCTTCGACTCCTACAGCATCACCGCCTGCCGCATCGACTGTGAGACGCGCTACCTGGTGGAGAACTGCAACTGCCGCATGGTGCACATGCCAGGTCAGGCCCCGGGCTCCAAGCATACTCCTGGGGTCCCTGGGCCTTTACTGCCCCTCACTAGCTCCCCATCCGTATCAATCTCCCAACCCCAGTTCCAGCCCACCCCATCCCACACCCATCTGGCTCTTGTCTCTCTGACCTCAGTTCCTGCCTGCACCTCTAGGGATGGGTGGGAAGGGTCTAGAAGGTATAGACTGGGAGTGAGTCACTTCTGGGGCAGCGTGGGGGCCTACCAGTCCTCCCCTCCCATCCTCTCCCAGCTTACACCTTCTAGGCCTTTGGTAATACCACCATCACCAGACCCCTTGAATCCCCATCCTGCATCATTGTCTTTTCTCCTCTGTAGGGGATGCCCCATACTGTACTCCAGAGCAGTACAAGGAGTGTGCAGATCCTGCTCTGGGTGAGCGCCCCTGGCCTGGGGCAGTCTGGGGGAGGGAAAAGGTGCTGCCAGCCATGTGCACAGGAGTTTCAGGTCAAGCTCCCAGAAGTCTCACATAACTCCTGGACTGGGCTGCACCCTCTCTTGTGTCTGATACTAAAGCTGACAATGGTCAGGCATGGTGGCTCACACCTGTAATCCCAGCACTTTGGGAGGCTGAGGTGGGCAAATCGCTTGAGCCCAGGAGTTCGAGACCAGCCTGGGTAACATGGTGAAACCCTGACTCTATGAAAAATACAAAACAAAAATTATGTGGGCATGGTGGCATGTGCCTCTAGTCCCAGCTACTCCGGAGGCTGAGGTGGGAGAATTGCTTGAACCTGGGAGATGAGGTTGCAGTGAGCCAAGATTGTACGACTGCACTCCAGCCTGGGTAAGAGCAAGACCCTGTCTCAAATTAATAATAATAATAATCGGCCAGGCGCGGTGGCTCACGCTTGTAATCCCAGCACTTTGGGAGGCCGAGGTGGGTGGATCACGAGGTCAGGAGATCGAGACCATCCTGGCTAACACGGTGAAACCCCGTCTCTACTAAAAATGCAAAAAAATTAGCCGAGCATGGTGGCAGGCGCCTGTAGTCCCAGCTATTCAGGAGGCTGAGGCAGGAGAATGGCGTGAACCTGGGAGGCGGAGCTTGCAGTGAGCCGAGATTGCGCCACTGCACTCCAGCCTGGGCGACAGCGAGACTCCGCCTCAAAAATAATAATAATAATAATAAATAAAGTTGAGAAAAGCATCTTCAGAGGACCCTATGAAAAATGAACAGAGGTCACCTGGGAATGACCTTCATCTTCTTTCATCAGCCCCTCAGCTGGTTGACCTTGGAGGGTCCTGAGGAAGTGAGATATAAGAGTAAGAAATATCCATGGTGAGGCTTGGTGAGAATTAGCTCAAGGTGGACACAGCTGTGAGGGGGCAGCTGGGGTTCTCCTCACTCTTCTAGTTCTCTCCATCTACATCGTTGGTTCAGTGGCCCGCAGGGTTCAGCAGGTAAAGTCCTCAAACATGCCTCAGGCTGGATGGTGAGGTAGGATGTTGGCAGAGTTTGGCATCCAGGCAGGTCATGGAAAAAGAAAGGGGCCCAGGGTTTCTCTGGGCAGAGCTAGGATGTGCATGTGGGAAGGTGCTGGCAGAAGGGCACCACTCAACTGGGACCTCTCACCTGGCTGAGTGCAGACTTCCTGGTGGAGAAGGACCAGGAGTACTGCGTGTGTGAAATGCCTTGCAACCTGACCCGCTATGGCAAGGAGCTGTCCATGGTCAAGATCCCCAGCAAAGCCTCAGCCAAGTACCTGGCCAAGAAGTTCAACAAATCTGAGCAATACATAGGGTAAGGGCTCTGACTGGGTACAGCAAGGCCCTTGGGTTGGGACTGTGGAATGGATAAGTGGGGTTTGATGGGGGCGGGGGCTGGCAGGCAGGGGGAGGTTGAGATAACACGGGGAAGGTCCAAAAGGCAAGCAAAGAGTCTAGGGTGGGTATGCAGGGAAGATCAAGCCAGAATAAGCAGGAAAGCACCCCTTTCTCTTCCCTCTTCATCCTCATTGTTGTAACAGTAGTCACTTTATACTTAATACATACTGCATATGGTACAGAACATTTCTCCCTATATGCCATCTCATTTAATCCTAAAAGGCAGGTATCTCCATCAGCGTCTCATTTTACGGATATGGAAACAGATTCAGAGAGGCTGCCTTGCTAAGGTCACCTGGTTAGTAAGAGACAGAGATATGACTTGAACCTAGGTCTCCTCCCCCAACCCCTGTGCAGGGAGAACATCCTGGTGCTCGACATTTTCTTTGAAGTCCTCAACTATGAGACCATTGAACAGAAGAAGGCCTATGAGATTGCAGGGCTCCTGGGTGAGCTGCTGATGGCACCTGTCCCCTTCCCATGCCATGGGCATGGCATGGCTCCCTATCATCCAAAAGCAGGGTGCTCACTTCTGTCCCATGAGGGTCCTCCACCCCAGAGGCCCTTCCCCAAACCCTGTTGTCTTGGTAAGTGGTGAGGGAAGGGAACTGAGCCTTCTCTTAGGGCAAAGCGGAAAAGAGAAAAGACAGGCCTGTGGTCATGAGGGAGGGGTAGGCATGGAAGTGGAGACTATTTTATACGCTCCTAAAATCGGCCCAGAAATTAAGAGTTTTGTGGTATTTTGTAAACGATTATTTTTCTTGAAAAGCACCTGCTCGTTTTAGAAAGGTAGAAAAACGCAGAAAGGCATAGAGAAGAAAATAAAACTTCCACCCGAATCTGGCTTTGCGATCCTTCTGTGCGAAGGCTGCCAATCTCTTTGAGAATACAACTTGCCTGCCCCAGTCCCAGTAAACCCTGCTGCCCCCACGGCGTCCTGACCCCACTGACCCCCCTGGCCCCTGCCCCCGCAGGTGACATCGGGGGCCAGATGGGGCTGTTCATCGGCGCCAGCATCCTCACGGTGCTGGAGCTCTTTGACTACGCCTACGAGGTAAGCGGGGGCGGGGCCCGGCGCAGGGCCACGTGGGGGCGGGGTCCAGCCCGCCCACCTGCCCCGTCCCGGTCCTAGGTCATTAAGCACAAGCTGTGCCGACGAGGAAAGTGCCAGAAGGAGGCCAAAAGGAGCAGTGCGGACAAGGGCGTGGCCCTCAGCCTGGACGACGTCAAAAGACACGTGAGGGAGCGAGCGAGGGCGCCCTCCAGCCCGCCCCTGCCTCCACCACCCCAGGAACGCCTGTCAACCCCCCCCACCCGCCTCTGCCACCACCTTCTCTCCTTTGTCTCCTGAATGCCCCAGCACTACCGGAAGCCCTTCCGAGGGATAACCCATCCCTGTCCTGTGCCCTTCCCCTAGAACCCGTGCGAGAGCCTCCGGGGCCACCCTGCCGGGATGACATACGCTGCCAACATCCTACCTCACCATCCGGCCCGAGGCACGTTCGAGGACTTTACCTGCTGAGCCCCGCAGGCCGCTGAACCAAAGGCCTAGATGGGGAGGACTAGGAGAGCGAGGGGGCCCCCAGCTGCCTCCTCACATCTGCCCTGGGGACTCCCCACACTCCGGGGCAGATCTTTCCTCTTGTCTGTGGTAAGGAAGGAGTCTTGACCATAGAGTCCTCTCCCTGCCTCTATCCCATTCTTTTTACGTTTAACAAAACTAATCTAAGAAAGAACTAAAAAGGGAGAACGGGGCAAGGGACCTCAGGCTGCCCCTCTCTCCATGCTGCCTCCCCTAGCTCCCAGCCTGAATTCTGTCTTGTCTAGCTGTCTGTCATCTGAGTGTCCACCTACATTCTGCTGCCACCAGTCACCAAAGGCCCTTCCCAGTGAGGGGTGGAAGGGATCCCTGGGGTCTGGAATTTGGCCCCAAACCAGAGAATGTACCTTAAGGGGGAGGGCTAGTGTGGGGGAGGGAGGCTTCCCCAGCCTTAAGAGACCCTCTCAGCCCAGTGACTGTCCCCAAACCCAAGTCTCCTGGCAGGAACTAAAACCTCTGCCCCACTCTTTCACACCATGTGGAATCTCGTGGGGGTTGGGGATCCCCTTAAGAAGTGGTAATGGGGTCAAGATGCGGCCCTGGTGCTGTAGGCGACATCCTGATACCTATAAGTTCACCCCCACCCCACAGCTGCTGGAGAGAAATCCCAAGAGGCAGCCCTCCCTCACCATCCCACAAAAGACCTGGCTGGTTAACATCCAGCTCAGGGAGAAGGGCACTGGTGCCTAACCTCACTAGTCCCTCTCCCGGAGGCCCTTGTAGAGGGCCACGTCCATAAATTTTCTTATGGAACTCTCCCACATCCTCTTCTCCAACTTCATTTGCTTCTCTCAACAACCTCATCTGCACTTTCTATTTCTATATGATACAGACTCTATATTGCTATATCTCTGTATATACTTTCCCCAGCCCTGTCTGTCTCCACCCCATCCCCTCTTGTCTCTGAGAACCATTCTCCCACCCCAAGTTCCACCTTCTATGTTTCTGCCCCCTCCCTGGTCTCTGAATGCCTTCGCCTGTATAAAGAGTTGGACTCTCTCCCCTGGTGTCTGTACTGTGTACACACATCCCTCTGAGAAGCACAAGGAGACGACACGCGCATTGTAACCTTTGCACTGTCTCAGTGGCGACAAAGGAAGCTGTGAATCACAAGCTCTGCCTCTTTCTGGCCTCACCCTCTCCCCCAACCCGGGCACCCTCGACCCTCCCTGCAGCCTTAACATTCTCTTCCCCTGCTCCTCCTATCCCATTGCCCTTTGCCCAGCTGACAGTAGCATCCCCAGGGAAGGGGTTGTTGTAGAGATAGCCCCCACCCAGGGGATGGAGGTCTGCCCTGGACACTAAGCCAAGTGTGTCAGAGACAGAAGGGAGCTGGGGATTGGTGACTCCTAAAGCTGGGGCAGTGGGATGCTAACAGGCAGAAGCTGAGGTCCTCAGTCAGTGGCCTTTCCTCCTTCTGGGTGCCCAGCCCCCTTTCCTCACCTGATACCCAAGCCCACCACTTTTATTTTCTGGTGAGGTGGGTTTGGTAGGAAAGAGAGGCCTAGAGGAGGAGTTGAAAGCTCTGCTGTTGTCCCTCCCTATCTTAATGAGAGACAAGTGAGGTGGAGGGCCTGCCCCCTCCCTCCACCAGACACTCCTTCCAGGCCTAAGCCCCAACCCCTCTCCAGGCCTTCCTTCCCCAGCTGTGTCTTGGTCTTCAATCCCAGAACAGGACCTGTGAGCAGGTCACCTGTGCATTGGCCTGGAGCTGGAGAGTAAGGCTATAGGATCTTTGGAATCTCTTGGTTCCTGGGAGTTCCTCAGAGATCATACCTCCCCAGAGGGAAGCAGGAATGAGGCCAAAAAGTGTGCATTGGATAGGGGAACAGCAGGCAGGGCTTTGGGTGACGCATGCCTCTGGTCTAATAAACTGGGTTTCAACCATCTCCTCTTCAGTGTTGTTCACTTATTTGAAAACATATTTAGGTATTCTCACTAAGTGCCTAGAGCTGAGCTTGGTTTGGGGCCAAACAATTAGGGGATGAGTAAGGAGAAGGTTTGAGTAGGGAGACTGTGGTCCTCCTGGGATGGGACAGCTGACCATCGTATCAGGAATAGTTTGAACCACCGGGCAGGGAAAGAGGGAGGAGTCAAAGGCAACAAAGGTCCAAAACAGAATCCCCATCACAAAAAATGCTTTAGAGAGAGAGCAGAGTCAAAATTCAAGATAAACTGGAACTTATTATAAAATCTGGAAGCAGGCTGGCACGGTAGCTCACGCCTGTAATCCCAACACTTTGGGAGGCTGAGATGGGCGGATCACTTGAGGCCAGGAGTTCGAGACCAGCCTACGCAACATAATGAAACCCCCATCCCTATTTTTTAATATTAAAAAAAAATCTGAGGCCAGGCACAATGGCTCACACCTGTAATCCCAGCATTTTGGGAAGCTGAGGCGCGCAGACCACTTGAGCTTAGGAGTTTGAAACTAACATGGGCAACATGGTGAAACCCCGTCTCTACCAAAAATACAAAACAGCCTGGCATGGTGGTGCATGCCTGTGATCCCACCTACTCGGGAGGCTGAGGTGGGAGGATCACTTGAGCTTGGGAGGTGGAGGTTGCAGTGAGCTGAGATGGTGCCGCTGTGACAAAGACAGACCTCATCTCGAAAAAAAAATAATAATAATCCGGAAGCAGGTTAGGTCGGAGACAAAGTTAGGTTGAAGTTCCCACGTGAGGTAGTTATTGAGGCACTTTATCTGTGGAATGAGTCCTGGGCTATGAGCAAGAAGACCTGGAATCTTGGCTTCGGCTTTATGACTAACTTGCTGGTTGACCTTTGCCAAGTCGTTCACCTGTGAGTTCAGCTTTCCCATTTGGAAAATGGAATAAACTGTGTTTCCCTCCTCAGCCCCTGATAAGTTATAGCAGTAAGAAAATGAAACGAAAAGCAATCAAAGCGTTTTGGGAAGTTAATGCCATGCGCCAAGATGAAGCTATTACTCCAAGCACCTCTTCATCAGCGGGCTGGAGTCGGGGTTGAAACTGGGGCTGAGGCTGTGGTCCATCCCCCTTTCCAGGTCCTTGTCTACCTCCCGTCGGCCTGGGGGCGCCCGCTCACGGGGCCTCTCTATCCCAGAGTTCTTCTCTATGGTTTCCCCTCCAGGACCGCGAAGGCGGGAGGGCGTGGCCAGCACGCCTTTTCCGCTAGTCGCTCCTCTCTAGGCGACAGTCTCACTGCCCTGAGCCTCCCGTGCCGGCCAGCCGGCCGGGGGAACAGGCGGGCGCTCGGGGGGCGCTCGGGGGGCGGGGGGAGTTCCGGTTCCGGTTCTTTGTGCAGCTGCATCGGCGGCTCCGGGAAGATGGCGGCCCGGGCGGGTTTCCAGTCTGTGGCTCCGAGCGGCGGCGCCGGAGCCTCGGGAGGGGCGGGCGCGGCTGCTGCCCTGGGCCCGGGCGGAACTCCGGGGCCTCCCGTGCGAATGGGCCCGGCTCCGGGTCAAGGGCTGTACCGCTCCCCGATGCCCGGAGCGGCCTATCCGGTGAGTGGGGCAGGAGGAGGGACGCGCGGGCCGGGGGCGGGGCCGAGCGGGGACGTGGGAGTGACAGGGGTGGGGGGAGAAGTAGGAGGGACTCCCTTGGGAGGGGTTCGGGCTCTGGGTGGGGGTTGGGGGAGGCAGTGCGCAGGAAGAGAGGGGGAGGCAGTTGGCGTCCACACCTGCTCCTAGGGGCATTGTTTCCGTGGGGAGTCGGTAGAGAACCAGGGTGGGTGAAGTGGGTCCAGGGATACCTATACGAGGGCCGGAGTGCAGAGGGGCTTGAGCAGCTCCAGTGATCAAAGGAACACAGAACGTGTAGTTGACAAATTGAGGTCAGCTTCTAAAGAGATAGTAGCTAGCAGAGTAAATGTGGAACTGGCGATGTCCGATGTGTCCGATCCAAAATAGACCGATAATTTGAGTATAATCTGGCTCTCGCTTAGCTTTTGGACTCTTATTTTTCTGTGGAGTCACTGCTGGAGCAGAGGGTTCTCGTCTCATTGTCCTCCATTCCATCCGTAAACCTTACTTCATTCAAAGAACTCAGGCGTTCCCTGCTTTTCTTTCTTGGTGGGGTTTAGCAGGTGAAACCATGACATCTCTGGGTCCTCTCCCCTCTGTAGAGACCAGGTATGTTGCCAGGCAGCCGAATGACACCTCAGGGACCTTCCATGGGACCCCCTGGCTATGGGGGGAACCCTTCAGTCCGACCTGGCCTGGCCCAGTCAGGGATGGATCAGTCCCGCAAGAGACCTGCCCCTCAGCAGATCCAGCAGGTCCAGCAGCAGGCTGTCCAAAATCGAAACCACAAGTAAGATGATCCTGGGGCACAGGGAGGGGGCAGGGAGCCTGGGAGTACACAGGTGGTGGGATTACCTGAACCAAGAAGTGGTGGTGCTGTGTCAGCAGATGGTGCTACAGGATGATTGAGAATGCTTGGTGGTGGTGGTGGTGGTGGTAGTTCTTTGATTTGAGAGAAGCTTTGCAATCCCTTCACATTACTATAAATGGACATGCTGACAGCTTATTTTCACGTTCTGACTAGTTCTGTCCCAACCTGATAATAGTGTTTATTCCCAACAGTGCAAAGAAAAAGAAGATGGCTGACAAAATTCTACCTCAAAGGGTGAGTCCAGGCTATCTGTTTTCTGGAAAGTGTGGTGAGTTTGAGTATAGAGATGAATCATCCTAGATTTCAATTAATTTTTCTGTTCCTAAGATTCGTGAACTGGTACCAGAATCCCAGGCCTATATGGATCTCTTGGCTTTTGAAAGGAAACTGGACCAGACTATCATGAGGAAACGACTAGATATCCAAGAGGCCTTGAAACGTCCCATCAAGGTAACACAGGAAGTTACTAAGCAGAGAGCCAAAGGAGAGGACCCAGGAACCTTCAGCAGGCTTAGGATGAGAAATCAAAGGCACAGCACAACTCTCCTTGGCATTTAAATTGCATCTCTCCCTTCCGCCTACAAACTGAGAATTACATTAGGAGGATAAGAACAGAATGGCAAAGGGGGAGGGGCTCTTGATGTCTCTTGCACTACAAATATACCCTTGTCCATGTTTTTGCTGTAACTGCTCTGCTACCTTGGGAACCTGGCACCTTGCATGACTTTGTCCACCTGGCATCCCACTGTATGCACTTGTACTTAGGCTGATGGCCAGTACTCCTCTTCTAAATGGAATCTTCATCCACCCACCCAAGGGACTGGGTAGACAGTAAGCCAGTCTGTTAGGAATAATTTTGGGGTTTGGGGAGACTCTTGTCTTCAACATTAGACCACTGAAGCCCCACGATCAATCCTGTTTCTGCCTTCCTCAGCAAAAACGGAAGCTGCGAATTTTCATTTCTAACACTTTCAATCCGGCTAAGTCAGATGCCGAGGATGGGGAAGGGACGGTGGCTTCCTGGGAGCTTCGGGTAGAAGGACGGCTCCTGGAGGATGTGAGTTCAAGGTCCACAGTGGTTGGCGTCTAGGGTGGGAGCTGCTGGGAATGAACAGTGTTGTCTGGTCAGCAGGAAGCCTAACTGGTGCTCACAGCTCCTTTTGGGAGCAGTAGGGAGAGGGACAGTGTTCCCTGCACTGAAAGACAATGGTCCTTTGTGTTTGCCCCCACACCTTTGGCCCTCACTGGTATCATATGGAGAACCTTATTGTCCTGGGACCTGATTTGTGATTTACCTTCCTCTTGGTGCTGCTGGCCATTGGATTTAGCCGTATCTGTAGATTATTTAGTTTTTGTTTTGTTTTGTTTTTAGTCGAGTTTGCACTTAATTTGAGGCCATGTTTCCTCTCTGAGTTCTTGTGGTATCTCCATCTTCTCAACTTTCATTGGAGGCACCCCATAGTTTAAGTAGGATAGATTTCTCTTGACAGGCTCTTTGTTGCTTCCTGGGGAGCATCAGCTGACAGGTGATAGCCCCCAAACTTCCCAACCCAGAAGCTCCTCGGGGAAGCTCACCTTTCTCTCATTCCCTTACATTCTCTTGCTCTATTTTTAGCTGCTCACAGGAAGCTAATTGGAATGCACTTTTGCAGGAGAACCAGGGCTCAGTGTCAGAGCCTCCTTCTCTATATAGGTCCGGTCCATCTGCTGGTGGTGTCATTCTGTCCAAATAAAGCTGTTTTTGTTCTGGCTGCTTATTGCCTGTGATTCATTTCCCCTCTAGAGTCAGACTTTTCTCTGCTCAAACTCGCTTAGTTATATGCAATGGTTTGCTTAACTTGCCTCATTTCCCTTGGGCAAATGAGGTGGGTAAAACTGACCCTGTATGTGTTCTAGGCTGCTTCTTCAGGGTTCTGTTGTTACCATGACTGGTTTAATACCTGCAGCTGCCTACTTTGCCTATCTCTCCTAAGAGATATTCAGAAAATATTTTTTGAGTTTTTTCTCATTGTGTTGGGGTTCCTTTTTCATAGGATTTTGTCTTGGGAAGTTTCTTCTGGCCTTTCGTAACATGATTTTTCTTTTCTCTCCTCTAGTCAGCCTTGTCCAAATATGATGCCACTAAACAAAAGAGGAAGTTCTCTTCCTTTTTTAAGTCCTTGGTGATTGAACTGGACAAAGACCTGTATGGGCCCGACAACCATCTGGTAGAAGTGAGTAGTTCTGCCTTCTAGGCTTTGACTCTGATTGGAGGATGATGGACTTGGGAGCCATGTTTTAATGTCTAAGGAGAGGGGGAGGTATAAAGTGGTCACTCTAGGTGTACACAGTACCACTCCAGGTGTACAGTTTGCACGTTGACCTCTAGATGGCACTAGCGTGTTTAGTTAGGACCAAGGGCTCTTGTAATCTAACTTGTCCCATCTTTTTAATGTTACTATCCTGGTCACTGCCGCCTCTTTCAAGGGAAAGTCTACTGGTGGCCTCTTGTACGTGCCATGCCATCTCTGCATCTTGCTTGTTA